TGTGATCTAACAGCCGACGCTGCTGTTACTAAGGTAAGAGGAAACCATATAAGAAGCCAGCTGATGAGTATGTGAGCCAGTGCGTGTCAGAGAGCAGTGGAAGAGAAGCAGGCAGTGTGCAGTGTGCGCCAGTAGAAGCCGGACAGAAGCCAGTGGTTAGCCAGCATGGAGGGACAGACAGTTCTACATTCTAGTGAGAGTTGTTAACACAAAAGGAGCGACTGTGAAATGACTTGTTTGACATTTTGTGTTATAGTTACATTGAATTGTAGTTACAGTGTTGAGTAATAAAGTGACGTCGCAAGAATACTCCTCGAGGTCTTGTTTCATGACAACACCCAATGGTTACAATGAATACCACACACTGAATGTTACATGTACACATACATTCTGAATACTACTATATGAGCACCATCTGAAATCATCCTTTAAATGCTCTCCAATGACGTAATGCTTCCAGAATCTTCCGCATCGAGATCATTCTTGAAGCTTCCACACTGTTCTACAGATTGAGAATGTTCTGAAAGTTTCTGAAAGTTTCTTTAATTGGGCAAGTGGGAGGAGTAAGTGATTCACATGCCGCACCAGCTGTCAAAGGTTGTTCTAGTAGCTCTTATCTAAACAGTCCTTGCCACAAATTCTTAGAACAGTTAATGCAATACTGACTGTAAGTCACATTTTGTACAAAAGTAGTATTAAGTCCTAAGTATTAAAAATTTATATTGTGGCTAGTAATATTTAAGAATTCAGCCAGTAGATAATGATTGGTTACAGTATCCTGAGCCAGATCAGTAAATTTCTTACCACCCCATCATATTTCTGTAAGATCCACTGTAATATTATCATCCTACCTATTCTTGAGTCTTCCTAGTTGCCTCTTTCCTTTTAGCTTTCCCATCAAAACCCTGTATGCATTCCTCTTCACTCACATGCATGGTACATGTCATACCCATCTCATCCTGCATGACTTTTTTACTCTAATTACATTTGGCGAGCAGTACAAGTTGTGAAGCTCCTCATTATGCAGTTCATCCTACTGTTTCATCTCTCTTTGGTTCATATATTCTCCTGAACACTCTGTTCTGAATTACGCAGTCTCTTTTATTCCCTAATGTCATGGACCAAGGTTCAAACCCATACAAAACTATGGGCCATATTATAGTTTTGGGTATTTTAAATGTTACATTTTTAGACAGCAGATAAGAAAGCAAAAGGCTCTGAAGTGAATGGTAGTAAACATTGCCTGAATTCATTCTGTTCTTAAGTTGCCCCATGAATCAAATTTTGATTTGTACTCTCCAGTCATATGCTCTGAAATATATTTAAACACCATTTCACCTGGTAATCATCTTCCACAGTGCTTCATTGCTGCTCAGTGTATTATTATTATTATTATTATTATTATTTATATTTATATGTTTTTTTTGTGCTGCAGTTTGGTGTTCACCCAGTGGCAGTACAGTTCACCCGGTGGCAGTATATGCCTTAATGCTGCCCAGGATGCACCTTATCATGTTCTGAGTCTTTAAATTATTGTCTCAGTCGTTGATGGGATACTTGACTGGTCACAGATTAAGGAAGTTAATTTGTAAAAAAATGTATTCTCATTAGCAACAAGGTTGATATAACAGTAACTTGTATTCAGAAGGCCCCTGTCAGATTGTGAGTGTTCCTGAGTAAGGTTTATCGTAGTTTTTTTCAGTGTCTATAAATGAATGCCAGGATAATACTTTCAAATAAGCCATGACAGCCTCCATCATAAACTTTTCATGCTTATGTTCATTATTTCATCTTATTCAAGGTTGCAGTTCAAACATTTATACTAAGTAACTTAAAACCATTATCTTCTTCAGCATTGTTTCTCTTTTGTACAGTTGTATGAACAAAACACCTCCCATCTCTTGTTTCTTCCCACAGTCTTCCCTTTTTATTTCTTGCTAGTTATGTCCTTTCTTCTTGATGTGTTCTTGTACCTGACTGCATCATCTTTCACCACCACCCCTCCTCTCCTGCCTGCTCTCCTTTCTGTGGATTGTATGAAAGAAGGGTGGCCAGTTAAATGTAGCAGTCCTTCTGAGGCAGAAGGCTGTCTTTCAATAGTAACATGAATATACATATTTAAAGAAACCGGATTATACAGATATAACTGATCTTGAAGCAAAATTATTATATCATGGATAACCCAAGTATTGAATTAGCAGTTGAATTGGGATGTCGATGGTCTAATAGACAACCACGTAAAAAGTTTGCGGGCCCTGAAAAGGACCGTTTGTTCGGCCGTGCTTGCGCTAGTAGCGTTTGCTGCTTTGTACACGTAGCAGACCAGGCCTTTATGGCCGTTCAGCTGGTCTGGCTGGCTGGTGATGTGGTGCTGCGTGCACTGGTAGGAACAGCTGCCTGTGGTGCTTGATGACAGCCGTTGTCTCAGCGTGGTTGCTGGAGAGCTGTTGCTGTTTCATGACGTCAGAGTAGCTGCGTTAGCTGTCTTTGTCATTGTGAGGACGATCGAAGAACTGATCATAGCGAGTTTTGAGCTCCGCCTTTTATACCATGCTTGTTGGGCGGAGGGAAACTTGCAGTTGCGATAGTGAGCGCTGATTGGCTAGCGCACGTAATGATCTACAGGTGGGCTGGACATGAGTGCTGTATAAATACAAGTGCTGACTGCAATGTGACAATTACTTGGCTTGAACAGAAGTTGAATGCTGTCTGTTAGACAGACGAAGCCGCGTGTTAGTATGTGGGGGTTCCCACAGGACTGTTGTCTTTATCTTGGGTCCTAAGACCTTGTAATGGATTTGTGGCATGTAAATGAATGAAATGACAGAGCAGCTTACCATGGTAGGGGTTATGTGGACTGGCTGCTTACCCAGAAGGGGCAAGATACCAGTACAGTTTTAGACAAGATTTAGAACCAGCCTCATGAGTCATGCTTTCTCCAAACAGTGGCCAGCGACAAATCTCATGAAAAGGGTAGTGAGATGCATGCAGATTGGGCATGTAGGTGAGGAGATGGTAAGCCAGGTATATTCAGAAGAGCATGTTGTTTACATGTGACACAATTCCATTGGTGCCCTTCTTTTAAATTCTAATTGTGATACTCTTCTCAGTGTCTGTATTCTGTTCATTCTTTTTATATGTCCAAATTATTGTGATCATTTCTCATGTGATTTTATCAAGGGATTTCAATTTCCAACTTCTCTAAAAACTTTGCTCCAATTTCTGTCCTTTCTGTCTAAAAATCATAATTGAGATGCATAATTTTTGGTCCTGATTCTGTTAAATATCATAAATATGGGACTAATAGGGTCTTGAGAAACTGTGAAAGAAATCCAGAGTGGTAGAAATAAACCTGAATTAGTGTAGAACAGTGTTTTCAAAACATTTTACACCACAACCCAACTAGAGGAATTCATTTTTCATTGTGGAATTTTATGGAAGATTTAGAGCAACAAGCACTGAACTTGGTCCCAAGAAACCATCTTGAATGGGTGAATGGCTCACTGTAGTGATAATGCTCTAGATTCATCTTTGGGAAGTGCTTGATTGGAATCTAAGCCCTGAGACTGGCTAGCCTAAGGTTTTCTTGGTTTTCCATAGTGCCTCCAGGTAAATTTTGTGATAGTTTCCTGATTAGGAACCTTCCAGGTTCTTTCCAATTCATTATCATCTCTCATCCTGTCTTTTGACAATATTGTCAGGCTACTGACAACATTGTAAAACAAAAGAATTGCTGGTCCTATCACTTTCTATAATTTAGTGATAACTCGTATAAAATAGAGCATGATAGTTTTGCATTGTATCAGGATAAAAATGTTAAAATAAAAAAGGGAAAGCTATCTCTGTAACATGCCATGAAGGCTGATAGGGTTGTGAGACATCAAAGCTCCCACATTTTGTAAGATTTGAGGCTTTCACGGCGGTGACTATGAAGAAAGCAGTCTTCTGGGATTTGGCACCGTGTATATGTGGTGTTAACCGACGTTTCGGAGGAACGTATCGCCTCCATCTTCAGGGTAGAAGAAAAAATATAAGAAATCTGCAAGCGGAGAGACCGTGAGAACTGGTCTGCTTCTACCGGTTCTCACGGTCTCTCTGCTTGCAGATTTCTTGTATTTTTTCTTCTACCCTGAAGATGGAGGCGATACGTTTCTCCAAAACGTCAGTTAACACCACATATACACGGTGCCAAATCCCAGAAGACTGCTTTCTTCTCCCACATTTTGTCTACATATTTGGCTCACAGATGGCGTTAAGGGTGTCAGCCTTATGTGCCGGCCGCCTTTACCCCCCAGAAAAATTCCTGGTACTCATTTCTGTTAGAGGCTGAGTCGTCCCCAAGGCCATAGTGCGGCTGGA